AGAGTTGTGCTAAAAAATTTGCATACCCTGGCAGAAATTGTGAAATGTTGGCATTGATTTGAAAATATGACTGATCATGCAAAAAAATGTATTTTATTGAAGGATAGTGATAACATGAAGCCATTTATCATCACATAGTTGTTTGGCTGCTTTTTAGATCACAATGATATCAGAAATCACCCAAATGGCCCTGATCGACAGTTTACATACCCTTGAATGTTTAGCCTTGTTACAGACACGCAAGGTGACACACACACAGGTTAAAATAGCAATTAAAGATTAATTTCCAACACCTGTGGCTTTTTAAATTGCAATTAGTGTCTGTGTATAAATAGTCAATGAGTTTTTTTAGCTCTCACGTGGATGCACTGAGAAGGCTAGATACTGAGCCATGGGGAGCAGAAAAGAATTGTCAAAAGACCTGTGTAACAAGGTAATGGAACTTTATAAAGATGGAAAAGGATATAAAAAAGATATCCAAAGCTTTTAAAATACCAGTCAGTTCTGTTCAATCACGTATTAAGAAGTGGAAAATTCGGGGATCTTTTGATACCAAGCCAAGGTCAGGTAGACCAAGAAAGATTTCAGCCACAATTGCCAGAATTGTTCGGAATACAAAGAAAAACCCACAGGTAACCTCAGGAACCTGACACCGATTCACCAGTCGTCCTTCCTTGCACCACGTTTGGTAAGTGCTTACCACTGCATACTGGGAACATCCTACAAAAAACATTTCCTGCTACCAACACAATATATTCAAGAACTGTATGTACACTTGCTGCCTGATATATCCCACCCATACACAGGTGCCATTGTAACAATATAAACATTATTATTCATTTCACCTGTCGTTTTAATGTTGTTGCTGATAAGTGTATATGGGAGAGCTATACATACATGCACAGTGAGACAATTTTGTTTTGCCAAGTCAATTATTACAACATCTTTTTGTTTTTGGTTTTTAACTATTCATAGATGTGGAGATTGTTCGAATTTCATCAATGCATAATATTCAGTAAAATAACTTGGACAAACCAAATTGGTGCAAGAATTAATCAATCTGTGAATTGCAAAGTATACATATCATGTATATATTTTCCAATACACTAAAATTGCATTTTTGCACCATTTGGTTCATCAATCGAATATTAAAAAGTAACCAATAGAGGGAACAAGAGGAAGGGCAGTATGAAAATCTATTTTTATATTGTTATATATTTATTATATACATAATAAAAAAATATAGAATTTTTTTTTTTACTTCTTTTTTCCCTCTTCTCATTTGATCTGTTATAACAATCAACATATTTTTTAATATCAATCATTTCTTTTTTGGTGCCAACTCTAAATCACAAAACAATCGGTCCTGTTTTTTCCATTGTCCAGTTCGTCTGTAAATGGAGCTTTAGAGTTGCAGAATTCGGACGACATATATATATATATATATATATATATATATATATATACATGGCCTATTTTTTAAAAGGCAGATCATGTTTCATAATCTCATATTTTAACATTGGCAGTGATTTATTTTCCAGTATAGGGTGGAAATACTTAATTAATAGCCTTATCATGTTAATTTTTGCTTGACTTTTTATCTTGCACATTGTATATTTGCTGTGTATTTCATAAGCATGTTGTACACTACTGTAGAAAAAAATGTGCTCATATTTATTGTATACAACAAAAAACTTTTGCATTTTAGAAATTTGAAACCAACAAAATCAGAAACTATAAGAACTCGGAGAACAGGCAAAGCTCCGAAACGTTTTAATAGTCTATCTTTGGGTTACTCCCTGAGACGGACCTCTGCCAATCGATGCTCCTAGTGCTTGCCGAGGACTCCGTGCACTCCAACCGACACCATTGGTGGACCCCACTTCCAGCGATGCAGCTGTGCCGGGGTCTCGCCGTCTCTCTCTGGATCCACTACCAGGATCCAGATCCTAGTGGGTGAACCTCTCCTAAATCCAGAGAGCATAGCAGGAACAAATCAAGCACTTACAAGAGCTTACTCTGGGGAGTAAGTGATTATAGCAATCCCCAAAGTGTAGGTATCCCTTCCCCCAAGCATGAGCCAAGGCTTCAAGAAAGGTGCAAGTAGGTCTGGTTTATTGATGGCTACCTGCCTGGTATTTATGCAAGTGTCCACCAGGTGGACACTCCCCTAGAGGACCTGATGGAACAATGGGACACATATTGGATATTGGCCAATCACAGACAATACAAACAAAACACTCCCACAGTGACATCACAATCCCTTCTCTCTATCCTGGAGATAATTGGGAAGTAATCAAATTATCTCCCAGGACAGATGCAAGACTCCATTAACCACATGGTTACAAAAAGACATAAAATTACACAATGTTACAATTACTACACAAAACATATACATGCAACATATCCCCAGATAGCTTAGATCTGAGCGCACATTATTACCGAATGGCGCTCAGATACATACATACAGTTCAATCGCCATGGAGCCAAAGTCTTTTCCATAGTATTTTGTTGCACAAATAGGCTCCATGGCATAGCTATCTGGGGTAGCACTACTCACATACTGAAAGTCCCGAACGCCCCTGCAGAAATACACAAAGAAACCTTTCTGCAGGGTAAAATACAGCTATCAGCACAGGGGCCATAGTCGGAAGGCAGGAGGCTAGCCAGTAGTCCCCTCCAGGCACAAGTGGCGAAGGGCCTTTCGTCACACTCCCTGTTCTGGTCTCAGAAAATATTTGCTCACTTGTGCCATTACAGAGAGAGCCTATACAAATTGCATTTTAGACTGATCCCACTTATAATTGCAGTCCTCATCCAAAATGTCATAAAGTTCAGTGTACATGAGAGATACAGCAGTTGGACAGTTGTTTCAGCCTTTTATGGGCATTGTTAGCTAGGTGCAGCTGATAGCACTCTAGGCAAAGCAAGCACTATTTTCTGTTCTTGCCAATGAATTTGAAACTAGTCAGTTCCACTGTTTTCAAACATAGAATGTTGATGCTGCATCCGTGCAACATTTTGATGCACTTTAGAGTTACTTCCAGCACCATGACCACTTTTGTCAGACAAGAGTTCCGGGCTTGCTGATTTAATTTCTGTACATATTGGGTATCTCTTTCATCAGCATTGAAGCATGCTGACAATAGATGATCAATACCAGTAGGGCAACCTACAGTATCACGCAAGTACACCCTCAGCCTGTCCTCGCTGACATTCCCCCCCTCCAGTAGGGTATGTGATGTACTTGGAGGAGGATCAGGCTGCCGAGGTTGCTTAGCCACGGTGCTAAGGTATGTTTTAGATATATTTATGTATTTATTTATTCATTTATTACTATTTATTTTGGGAGTGGTGGACCTGCACAGTAAGGTGTACTCTAACCAATACCCATGTTTTATTAAGACGCCGTTCTTTGGTTGCAGTAGTCCTTTAATAAATCGCAAGTCCTAATGACTCCACAAATGCATTCTAAGCACCAAGTGTGCACTACCCTTTAGACATGTAAGCATTTCATTTCTTAAATCAATATTTTTTTTCTGTTCCCCCAGACTCCTATTTTCTGTTTTTAGTGTGCATTAATTCTGTCATTTGTTTGCTTTTTTTACCTTTAGATATTTCATTTTGATGGATCTTTTTAAAGAAAAATAAAGAATGGTCTTTTATTTTCATCCATTCCAAGTTTGGTGTATAGCTTGAGTATAATGTAATCTGACATCCATATTCAGTTTGCCTGCTGTATCAAAGACAACAGAGAGATCCATGGTATTAATAGGTGGAATGGGTGTTTAGTTTTGATTGAGAAAAAAGCAATTAGTGTTGTTTCAGTTAAGTGTTGGGAAAGAGAGCCAGGTTTTATATGGTGTGGCAAGAAGGGAGTTAGAAAATAGAAAAAAAGATAGGTAGCTGTAGCCTAGGTTTTCCAGTAACACAGAAGATAGGGAGAGCTTATATATGAGGTTGTAATTGGATGAACGAGAAAGATAAAAAAAAAAAGATTTATTTAGAATAGTGCGTATTCCAGCAGGGATAATGTCTGGAGTAAAATATTTTGAAGATGCGTATTAAAATAGGCAAAGAGAGAAAGAAGAAGGTTAGTAGAGATAGGGTCAATGGGGTAACTTCATTCTCAGTAATTTAAAGTAGGTTAGTGAGGTTACTTATACAAAGGCAGGCCAGATAACACTTTTAAGGATGCTTCGTAATTTTATAGTTGCGGTAGTGCGTGGGATTCTGTGTGTGTTTTGAGTTGTATTTAAATATACAAGGTGAAACATTGCAGTGCTTTCTTTAGTTTATATCTCCACTTTTCACCGCCAGCTAATTAGCAATTTATAACAAATGTCAATCAAGTAAGGGCTTGTAGCTTTTCGTTAGGGTGCCATTTACAAGTGAAAGGCCTTTTGCAAAACTCACAGATTCCATATTTTGGGAAATCTCTCAGTTTACCAGCACAGACATGTAGTGTAAGGTACTCCTGTGTAGTGCCACTCAACTGATGGCCCTGCCTCTCCAGGTAGGCACCACATCTGTTTCATACCCTCAAACACCTTAGCCAGCGTTTCTGATGCCAGACGTTATAGCTCTGTCCTTTTATGATATCTTGAGGCCACTCCATTTATACAAAATTGTATTACTGCCGCCCACTCGTTTTTGGGAGGCATGGTTATCAAGGAAACGCTCTAGGCCTATAAACACATGAGCTTTACATCTATTCACTGCCCTGTTGATTATCCGTGAGTGTGTGATATCATGTTTATTATCTGTTTCTTTTTAATCCTTGATCGTCCTAACTAATCTGATTTCTGCATCCCTGACCTTGGCTTGTCTTATCAAATTTGTGTACCTCTGTTATACTTGACCTTTGGCTTCTTATTGTTATTTCTCCATGCTCTTTACATTAAGCCCAGCACTCTAAGGATGGTCATACACATCTATTTTTTTCCTTGTCCCGTGTGACTGTTCTGCATATTGGAGTGTTTTCTATACTGACATGGAGGCATTAAGATGATGGTCACAAACCCAAACAGTGCTAGTCTAGCAAAGGCCCTGTATAATTTCTGTCTGCCGCCTCACATCTGCAGTATTATTATGATAACACAACTATTTCATATTTAGAAGAAGAATCAGGGTGTGAGACTGTGGATAGTGGGTTAAGGCGGAATTGCAACCCTGCCCCTCCTTGCCATCAGTGCTGAAATACTTAACAGTATGAGATCATTATGAGAGAAAGGTAGAATATTGCAGGAAGGGACACACCTTGAAGGAGTGGAGAAACAGACAGTGTAACATAGAGTTGAAAGAATAATTTTGTAGGAAATCAATAGGCTTCATTGCTTGAATAAATTCTTTATGATAACCCCTCCCACCCCCACCCCCCAAATAACTTTCTTGATACATCTACACACTAGCTGATTACATTTAGAGATGACTATAAAGCTCAGCATGTCTTCTATAAATATTAAGTAGTGAATGTTTTACGTAACATTTCCTATTTTTTTTTTCCTCTCAGAGGTTCTCTGATAATGTTGCTTAATATGCCAAAGAATATAGATCTATAGTTTTTGGCATATACATTTATTTGTCCACAAGGGGGAGCAAAGACAATTGCAATCTTTATATTGCTGTAGGTTGCTTTGCATATGTTACAGCAAATCCCATACATGAAAAAGTAAACCAAATGTGGTCAGGTTCTTTAACCATAACATGGAAATATTCTCATCAAGCAGACACTATTTTTTTGTTTTTTTCTTTTGCTCTTAAGGAACTGTGCCTATCTCATTATTATTATTTTTATAATATTATAATATTCTTAGTCTAGATCAGGAGTAAGTAACCTAAGGCACTCCAGATGTTTTGGACTACAGCTTCCATGATGCTTTGGACTACATCTTCCATGTCTCTTAACGCCCTTCTTTTCCGAACAATATACATTCCTAATAGAAAGTTGTGCCATAGGATTTATCAATAAAATGGCATGAAAAGTTTGTGTGTGGTACCAACAGTGATGGGAGAAACATTCGAGAATATAAATCAACTTTCTTATATAAGACTGATCCTTTTAAGAAATAAACATATCACTTGATTCTAAATTGCAGATTTCCTGTAGATTAGTATTTATATTGTGCCATTATATTCTGCAGCACATTACAATTATAGAAAGGGGATATTTAGAGGTGAAGAAAAGAGTATACAATCTGTTGAGGTTTTGAGGTATGCGGATATATATTCATTAGGTGTCTCGCCCAGGGACAATTACTGGCGAGGTGGTCTGACTGGGCTATAAATGTGGGTTTCCCATTTCTAAGGCTAGCCATAACCACTTCTCTAACGAGCTGATATAGAGGTTATTTGTTGAACTGCAATGAAATATACAAAGTAAATTTTATCATTTGTTATAGACTCTGAACCAGCCTATTTAGTATGATCCAAAGTATATGCTAGAAGAAATACAGAACAACAGAGAAGACCTATTTTCGTTGAATGGTGTCTAAGATATAATTCTTTGTAAACTAAATGCAGATAAAAGGCCAAAAAGTGCTGTGTGACAGATATTATATACTTGATCTATTATATTGTGCTAAACAACAACTCTTTTGTGCAATAGTTTCTTTCACTTATATTGATTTGCTTCAAAACATTACAATGTTTTTTTTGTAATGCTTATCCTGAGGCTTTATAATCAGAGTCAGCACAACCACGGAGACGTCATGTAAAAGAAAGTAGAAAAAAGAAAATGCACTATACTATATGGATAAAAGTATGCGGATATCTGATCATCAAACCTCAAAAAGCATCTCATTACAAAATCATAGGCATTAATATAGATTTGACCCCCTCTTTGGGGCAATAAGAGCCTCTTTTCTTCTCGGAAGGTTACCACTGGATTTTTGGATTGTGGCTTTGGACGTTTTTGCACATTCTGTCAAAAAAAGGTCTGGCACCGATGTCTGATGAAAACGTATGTCTCACACTCAGTGTACAAATTCATCCTAAAGGTGTTCAATAAGGTTCAGATCAGGGCTCTGTGTAAAATACTCAAAAGCCTAAACTCCAAACAATGTCTTCATGGATCTTGCTTTGTACACAATGGCACAATCGTGCTGGAGCAGTAAAGTGCCTTCCTCAGACTTTTGCCAAAAATGTGGAAGCACACAGTCTTCTAAAATGTCTTAAATGATAGTTTTGCAAATATTAGTTGGAAGTAAATAATTTATTTTAATTCACAGTTCTTAATGTGTAATTATTATTCCTGCTATGGTTTTTACTGAGTTGGATATGTTTATTCATATCTGATGTTATTCTGTCTTTTAGCAGACCTGTTTAGACAATTATAACTGCTTACATTTTCCTAAATGTTCTTTACATAAATACTGGATATAATTTATGAATTATCGTATTTCACTAGTTTTAATATGTTTGAGTTGCAGTAAAAATTGAAACCTTGGTTTGGAACCTTACATTTAATTGGAGCAATAAAACAATTAAATATTTGGGAATAGAAATTACTTTTGATATAAATTCCTGGATAGATAAGAACTATAGTAAACTCTTGCAAGAAATGAGAGAAATAATAAAAAATTGAGTAAATTACGTATTTCATGGATGGGTAGAATGAACATTCTGAAAGCATATAGATTACCCAAATTGGAAAATCTTTTCCGAACCCTCCCAATAAGAGTAATGAAGAAACAATTAACAAATTTTCATAGATTATATTATTCTTTTGTTTGTAATGGAAAAAAATCAAGAATTCCATTTAAACTCTTGACAGCAAGGAGGACAGAGGGTGTATTAGCTGATATATATACAGATAATTTGATTGGAACTTTTCCTGACTTACAGAACAGATATGGATTGTCAAGCATTTTGACATTTTTTCTTATCTGAGAATCTTTAAGTAAAAATCTTTTGGTGAACCAATCCCCTCTGGACTCAATTTTTTGTGGGCTTCAATCAGGGAAACCAATAAAGATCAGAGAGATTATCAACAGAAATACATTGAAATCTAAGATAAAGACTATTGTAAAATGGGAAGAAGATTTGGGTAAGTCTTTCTCTATTGCGTCTTAGCTAAAATATTTGGAACTATTTAAGGAAACAATACAATGTGTAAATATACAAGAATCATTTTATAAACTTCTAAATAGATGTTATCTTGTTCCCATTAAACTATGTAAATCAAAGTCCTCTAACTTATGTTGGAGGTATAAAAAAAGATGAGGGTACTTTAAAACATATTTGGTGCGAATATTCTCTTCTTCCAGATTTAAAGATTATTACTTTACAATTATTTAGGGATCTTAAATTAAATATCTCTGATCTAACCCCTGAAAACTTCCTCTTTCAATCTCGATTTCTCTGAGATATCTAAGTACACTCTCTGCTTGATAACTCATATTCTGATGGCCACAAAACTCTGTATCTCTAGGTATTGGAAGAGAGAAGAAATGCCCAGTAGGAGAGAAATTATAACTCAGATAAACTATTGGGGGAAAATGGAAAAACCTATATTCTTTAATAATGGGAATATTGAGAAATATCGAAAAACTTGGTCGGTGTAGTATACATACTGCAAGGATATACCTCAGGCCTAGATCTCACAAACCCTATAAACCCTGGGATAAACCCTGGGATAAACCCTGGGATAAGTAAGTTGGTAACAAACCCATAACAGCATAGTCCCATTCCATATAAAAAACATGCCCCCCTTCTTCCCAATTCGAAGAAGACCATCTCTCCCTCCAAGGGCTTGTCTCCTTTTTTATTTGTATGTTATATATAAGTTATAACTTTACTATGAAATTCACTTGAGATGTTTGGAACATTAAGGTTCTAAGCCCTCTTTTCGATCTGGGATTACTATACGCCTGAACCAAGAAAGCTTAAGAATTATAAAGAATATTTTTGTCTTATATAATCGATTTCCTGCATATCAAATATTCTACTGCACGAGTTATGTTACAATATTTATTGTAGATATTTCACTCTAAACTGTGTGTACACAATAATTCTAAAATATTATGGAATGTCATATTGGGATACCTATTGTGTAACCTTTCTCTTTTGTTATATGGAGTAAAAAAAAAACATAAAAAAATTAAAATGGGAAAACAGTTTTAACCCCTTAAGGACTAAACTTCTGGAATAAAAGGGAATCATGATAAAGGACCCACAACTTGCAAAAACTATTTGTTTCTATTTCATTACAAAAAAATAATAATTTCTTTCTAATCTGTATTCTTTATTTGACAATATAGCTACAGCAAACTGTTTTATTTTATTTCCATTCTGGATTCTAATATATGCCTCTACATGTTTGCTGGGGCACATCAACATATTTTTTTTATGACAGCTATCATGTTTAATTTCTACTAATATATGTATAGTCCTTAAAGACGTAATGCTTAAAAAAATCCATATTTACATTCATCTAAAGCTATGTAATTATAATAGTTTTTCTTATCATTTCTTTCTTATTTAAAACATTTTGAAAACATAATTTACGCAATTTGAGCAGATATCCCAAGCAATAAAACAAAGAAAAATGTTTAGATTTTTGTGTATTCAATGGAAAATACAGTTCAAACTTGGGCAAGAACATTGATTGTAAGCAATGAGAATATTTGACTGCAGACGATACATGACAGGCAAAAGGAAAGGTGTAAACCAAGGGTGTCCAACCGCTAGCAGTGCGGCCCTGTTGCAGTCCTCGCTGCCAAGCGGTGAGGGAGGCAGGGAGCCCTTTACATACTGTGCTCCTCCTGGACAGCTGCCTCGTGCGTCCTGCAGTGAGCCGGCTGCCAGGATAGTACATTATTCCAGCATCAATATCACTACTAGGTGCGTAAAGGACCTGTGCAGGAAGAGCACAGAGAACCCCGCCCAGCAACAATCGCTAGCCACCGGGGACAGAGCAAGGTAGGGAGGCTGAGTGGACCTTTTAAGTACGAAATGTGTATGCATGTGATTTTTGTGTATGTTTTGTCAATTAATGTAGGTATCTGTGTATGTGTGTGTGGTGGGGGATGTCTGTATGCATGTCTGTGATTGTGTGCATGTACGTCAGTGATTATCTAAAATACAAACTGGCCCCTAGTCTACTTTTCAACAAAAACCCATAATCTAACTTTTCCCAAAGGTTTTTTTCAGTTGTGGTAAATGCACCACTTGCAAATACCAAAAAAGAAAAACTTTTAAGTGCTTCTGCCAGGAGCACTAAAAA